TGATTGTGGGTAGATTTAATCAAGGAGACCTGGCTCTATAGTTCCAAATCAATGACTCACTCTGTTCCCAAGATGGACCTAAGCACAAGATTTTCCATCATTCAGCTCTAGGGTACTGGGATAACAATCTGTTCCCTTTATGGCCCTACAAGGTCTTAATGTGGAGAACACAAGCATTATTTACTGGGTTAACACAGTGTCAACATTTCCCAATGCAAAGATTTCCTTATTGAATAGAAAACCTGAAACATCTACTTTGAAACTACCATCCACCTTTGTTTCATTTTTATGTTTTGACCCCAAGCTTTTCATTTATAAGGGCAAATATTAAACTATAAAACTTGTGATTTTCTTTGTTGTTTTCTTATTTCCTTCTTCCACTCAGGATTTAAGCTCTAAAGCTAGAGAGATGGCTCAGCAGTTAGAACACTTGCTGCTCTGGCTAAACTTAGGCTTAGTTCTCAGAATCCATATAGCAGCTCACAGTTGCCTATTACACCAGCTCCTGAGTATTTCATATCCTCTCTTGACTCTGTGGGTACCAGGTATACATGAGGTGCATTTATATACATGCAGTTAAAGCATTCATATATAAAATAAAAGTAAATAAATTCTGAAAAATTAAAGCCTAGAACTCTCTTATAAGGGAGAACTTCCCTCCCAGTTGTGTGTTTATTTGAAGGCTTATTCATATCACTGCAACTCTGACCTCACGGATATTTATCTTATTGATTGTAATACAATATGGTTATTTATATTGTGGCACTATTTATTTCAGATTTAGTAAATGAGACTCTTCACAGAAAGGCCAGTAATGTTTTCATCTTTCCGTCTTTTGTTTCACCTGTGCTCATGTTTTGAAACCACAGATATGGGAAGTGCTGGGATCAAGCTCTTCACAGCAAAGGCACCTCCACTGCAGCAGCCACTGCATCCATCTCCTACTTCTCTTCTCCCTTCTCCTCCCCCTTCTCTTTAGTATGTTTCAATTCTTAGAACTAAATGCTAGATATCCGTGATGCTATCCAGGCGACATTCCTTCCAGACACTCTAAGTGAAAAACTAAGAAACTGAAGCCTGTATACTAACACACACACACACACACACACACACACACACACACACACACACACA